ACAAAAGCATGCAAAATGCTGGGAGAAACTTCCTGATATCATGGACGAGGCATCGGCCATTGTTGGACTAGAAGATAAACTACGAAAGCAAGCGGAACTAGTACTCAACAGCAATAAATTGCATTTTCTCGTTTCAGTATTAGGAGTGGCAGGTTCTGGCAAAACAGCTCTTGTGAGGACTTTTCATAACAGCATCGCAAGTAAGCAGCACTTTGAATGTCGGGCATGGATCAGTGTTCCTCAAGATTTTGAAGAGAGATATATATTGCTTGACTTATTTAGATAGCTCAGAAAGGGCAAGGAGAACCGGAGCTTATCTACTGAGCAACTACGAAAGGGGCTTAGACATTTCTTGACCTGGAAAAGATATTTGATAGTTTTGGATGATGTTCGGACACCTGACAATTGGAATACACTCAATCTTGTCTTCCCCGATTCAGCAAATGGCAGTAGAGTGATACTCACTATTAGTGAGGCTTATCTAGTGTCGTTCTCTCACTACGCCCATTAAAGAGGGAAGAAACTTGGAAGTTATTCACAGAAAAGGTTAAAGAAAGTTGGAAGTTATTCACAGAAGAGGTAAAAACAAGTAGAAAGGATATACCGGATATTTCTCTATTTCTCAGCGATATACCGGACGATTTGGAGGAAAAAATCTTACAAATATGTCGTGGCATTCCTCGCACAATAGGTGTGCTTGGAGGTTTGTTGTCTTCCAAAATCAAGGGGCAAAACCATACTGAATGTTCAATGTGATCAATCAAACCAATAAAAGAGGAGAAAAGAAAAAAGGGGTGACTGATAAAGATGTGGACCTAGTGCCTTCCTTATTAGATCGTATGCATGAAAAGAATGAAGTGATAATGGTAAATCAGCTGGGCTCTTCAACTGGCAAGGAGAATTCTCTTGAAGATCAACCAAGTTATTTGGTTCAAGAGGCTACTTCAGATGACAAGAAAAAATTGACAGAGTATACCACTACTATGGAAGATCAACTAACCTCTCAAAATCGGTCGGCTTTTTTACCCACCGAGCAGAAAGAACAGAGCAAAGTGGTGACCGATAATGCAACTTCTGGTGACGATCAATCAACTTCCTCTGATGAATTGACTTCTCCAGATGAAAGGTCTTTGTCTAGTACCCTGGCTGTGACCTACAAGCACTTGTCGTTCCCGTTGAAGTGTTGTCTTCTTTATTTGGGTCTATTTCCTAGATTATATGAGATCCCTATAAGGAGGTTACTTCAGTTATGGCTCGCTGAAGGACAGGTGACACAGCCAACGGGTGAAACGAAACCTCCAAAACCTCTTGAGGAGTTGGCGAAGGATTGCTTTGAAGAGCTATTAGGGACAAGGATGATTGAGAAATCAGAAGTGAGGTTAGATGGAAGCACTAAAACATGTTGCGTGACAAATGCATTATATGATACTCTGCTTCTAAATGCAGAGAAAGTTGGGTTTTTTCACATCCACCGCAGTTCAGGTACATCCCAATCACCAAGGCTTGCAGAACACTTGGATATGTACATCCACACCAAATCTTCAGAAATCAGCATTAAGCATCTGCGTTCTTACATTCCATTCTACAAGAAAAAAGGAGATGCACCGACATCTGGCGTAAGTGAACTCCTTAAAACAATTGTTAAGGGGGGCTTTGAGTCGCTTGTAGTGCTTGATCTGGAAGGTGTATATAAACCGGTGCTTTCTGAAATGGTAGGCAAATTACGTCAGCTGAAATACTTAGGCTTAAGACGGACTCTTTTGGATTCAGTTCCAGAATCGGTTGGTGGTCTCCCTGACCTAGAGACCTTGGACATAAAGCAGACATATGTAGTCACTTTACCGAGTACCATTTGGGAGGCAAAGAAGCTTCGACATCTACATATGAGTGAGATTTATTTTGATGTTAAGAAATCTACTCGTGGATCGTTAAAAAGTCATCAGACTTTGTGGGGGTTGATAATCAGAAGAAAGCTTCGTGAGACGGATTGGTTGGTCAATTTGACTGGTCTTAGGAAATTGAAATTAACGTGCCTTGAACCATCGATGGAGGATATAGCTGACTGGCTTACTGAATTGTCCAATCTCCAGGCCTTGAAGTTAAGGTCAATAAGTGACTCCAATGAGCCTGCACGACTTGCAATAAAGGCGATGAGGAACCTGACAAACCTATCGCGATTATATTTGCTGGGAGAGCTTCCAAACACATTCAAGGTTAGTGATCTTCCTGAAAATCTTGAAGTCCTCACTTTGTCAGTTTCACATCAATCGGAAGATCCAATGGAAGCTCTTGGGAAGCTGGGGAAGCTTGAGGTCTTGAAACTTTATGCTCATTCGTTTAAGGGGCAAAACATGACCTGTCATCGGGATGGATTTCCTCAGCTCCAGGTATTGAAATTGTGGATGCTCAAGGAATTGCAGAGCTGGACTGTGAAGGACAAAGCCATGCCAATTTTAAAAGAAATAGAGATTAGGTGCTGCAAAAACCTTGAGAAGGTTGATGGTTTGAAGAACTTAACCTCGTTGAAGGAATTGACCTTAACGAATATGAAATCATCTTTTATAGAATATGCTCGAGAAAAAGTAGGCGACAAAGTCATCGAAAACGATTGGAAATTTCCTCCCCCATGGGTGAGTTCTTCTCGCTTGTCTACCTGCTATAAATTGTTATCTTAATCTTCCTTTGATTTTTTTTTTATTTTCCTTTTTACATGAGTTTTGTTCAGGGAAACAATGTGATTCCTTTTCAATGTTTTTTTTCTTTTGGTGAACGTTTCAACCTTAAGGTGCAAGACTAAAAGTGCCTGCCAGTCTAATGGTTTTCTTTCGTTTAATTTCAGGACACCCGAGCAAGAGCCGAAAGCTGAATCTGATGCAAAATATGGTACGGAATCCACACTTATTACAAGCGGTGAATCCTGGATGATAGGTGGTTTTCCTTTATAATCGGTTTAATGGATTTTTTGAGTCCTTTAGACCACGTACCTATATATGTTTTCCTTCCTCCCTCTTTGCTTTGAACACATAATATTATTTATCCAAATAAATACATCTCTCACATATTTCTGTTAATGCCGTGACAAGCCGTAGAGACCATGACTTCATCAACAGTCTCCTGTCATTTTGTGTTATGTACTGTTTTATCAATGTGCAAGTTGTGTTGACAGTGTCAGAGCCTGCAACCAATGCATGGAAAGACTTTATTTCTGCTCTCTGCGTGTAGATAGTGAGCGAGGCAGAGTGAGTAATGTTTCTGCAGATTTAAGCTTTAGTTTATGTTGTATTTTAAAAGAGTCGTAATGTATTTGTATTAAGTTTCCTCTTCTTTGATGAAGTTCGGTTAAGTTTCTGGTTTTCTGCTTTCCCCTCTCTGCTGCAATTCAATGCCGCATTCATTCTTTCTGTTCTAATTTAATTCAAATGCCAAAACTTAACAGTTTTCCCATGTGTGATTGAGTCATCCCGCCATTAAATTCTAGGAAATGCAAACCTCTGTGTAATTTTATTCTACATTAGAACGTTGTGTCCACTTGACCCTGTCGAGATACAAAGAATCCCCTCCTCTTCAAAGCAAAAGCCAATGAGTTTTGGCAGATCCTGGACGGTGTTAAGATCGTAACTAAGAACAACTTGATCTTATTAGCTACTTCATTGTCAATAATGACATATTCCACGTCCGGATATTTTCCACATGAAGCTTTTTCAAGGGCGGAAAACCTTTCAATTGATCTAGATATAAATCTGAATTTAGTCTCCTTCAAAACCATTTTAATTCCATGATCCAAATCAATATTAGCTTGAGTTTCAGCAGTGTTCTCAAGTACAAATACCAGAGATGTAAGAAAGGCTACTCTATTCATTTCTACAGTCTACAATGCTGTTCTTACAAAATAAAACATGTATGGGTTTCCCTTTTCCTGGAAAGTAATACAGCCATCAAGAAGCACCGATCACGGTGAAAGCCGAGTGAATGAATATGTATTAACAGTTGACAACCTTAGCCAGATTTTGATTTGGTCCACAAAAATGATGCTCTTCTCGAAACTGGAAAAATTACCTCATAGATATTGTGAAAGAATCCTTTATCATACACATTATTCCTTACAACAGCTTCAGTATCCTCTAGAGGGGACCTTCGGAAGAAGGATTTACATTTGCTCTCTGGAGGCTTTCCTTCGCTATTCATCCCAGTGATGCTTGCTTTCAATGCTGCAGTACTTGCTCTTGCTTCACTCAGTTTCTTCTGCCAGCTTATGTAGTCTTGCCACTTGAATGTCTATAATTTCAGACACATGACAACATTTGATTCTAGTTTCTTGGTTCTATTAACAACTTAATCAGCATAGCCAATTATTTCCATGTTTATATCCAGTCAATGCAGGGTTGACAAGTCAGGTAATAATGGTCAATCACAAAGTCAAATTAAGGTAACAAACTATTGAACAAGGTTTAAGCAGATCTCACCTCATTTGTTGTGGTGTTTGTGAGACAAAGATTAGCATGATATGCAAAGAAACCCGCCAATAAGAGAGAAACTATGGCCATAAACACCAGAAGAAGTATTTGGCTGTTATATGAGCCCAACAGCCACTGCCACAAAGTAAAAGACAATTTATATAATGCCACTAGCTTTCAAATAGACCTGTAGGTAACTATAACTACATGCTTAAACAAACATGGAGTAACTCAGTGAAAATCAGGATTACAGTGATATTTTCTAGAAACCAATCTCTAGTAAAATTTAAGTTCTTTGGCAGGACCCAAAATCTGAAGCATAAAACATCTCAAAATGATGCAGACAACATAGGAAGTTAGCTTCCTTCAGTTTGTTTTGGAACAAAAATGAAGCCACACATCAAGCAACAACCCTTAGCAATAATTTGATAAAAGAATATGTATTACACTCACCTGTACAATATGAGGAGCTAAACTGCCAAAAGAATTATCTACACCATAATAAACTGCAACAACAAAGAAAATGGCATGGAACATTTAGTCTATAAATCATGAAGAAACTAGAAAACCTTAGTCCAAAATTGATTTTTTACCCGTCAAAATATATACAACTCTCAATTCTTTCAATCGTCCAGCAAGAACCAATCCCATAGCAATTGTCCCATACATGCAAAGAAGGAAATGCCTGCAGAACACTGAATATGAATTAACATGAATTTTGAAAATTAAAATGGAAAAGCAGCTTCCTGCTAAAACTCATACACCAGGAAAAGCTGTGCATGGACAAGAAGGTAACAAAAGGACAAAATTGCAGACGCTGCTCAATTACCAGCTTTAGATCATCACTCCGAAAAAATTAATGCAACCTTGATATTGATAACTATCTTATATTAATGGAAATTGGATGGTCAGAAGTTCTATTCATATTTAATGAAAAAACCTTGATTATGATTTATGACCCAAATAATTGACAGAAAAAGCTGTAGTGATGAGGTGGTTTCCGCCTAGTAATTAGAGGTGGTTTCCACCTAGTAATTAGAGGCTGATCATGTTTCCAAGAGGACATTACCAATTTACCACCCTCAATATCTTTCCAGCAGAAAGGTTGAAGCAAAACATAGAAGCCAATTAAGAAAACTAAATCAAATATAGATTGCTAGCAGCCAATTAATGTGCAGAACTCACCATAAAAGAAAAGCCAAGAAGTATCGGGTATTTCTCTCCCCTATACAATTATTCTGCAATAAGTAACACCACCTTCAGTAGGTATGAGATTTGGATATTTTGAACATGCTGTATATAGAACAACGGGCTACACAAAGTAAAATAAAGAAGACAGAATAGTTCAAGATGTGCAAACCATCCATCCACAATGATGATCAAAGCGAGCAACACATCGATTGCATATGCTGCAGTGCTTGGATCTAGCAGGTCTGGATCAATAGAATA